ACAAGTGACCTCTAACTTCTACCATCAAGTCCCAGATCTATTCCCTGGGATCACACAGAGCTGGTCTGCTCCTTCAGTCCAGGCAGCTCCTCAGAGACCAGAGCAGAGCAGCTGTGTTCCCAAGTTCCTCTTCTCCACACTGAAAGCTCCTAGACATTCTCACTGCACTGCACTTGAGATGTTTCCTAGTCCCTTCACCACCTGCAGGGTACAGGGGCAGGGAAACCCAGAGGCAAGGTACAATCTAAAGAGGTCTAGCTTCAGCCCATCACTGAGTTTCTATGTGCCCTGGGACCAGCTCCTTCCCCTGTATAATGAAGGGACTCCAGTGGATGACTCCAAGGGGTCCTTTCCAGTCTTATGGTAAAGGACTCCATGGGTAAGTTCAGGGCCAAATGATGTCAGGACTGTTACTGTACAAAAAAACCTTAAAGACCTATCCACCTTTCATAAAAGGTGCTTCAAAAATGTGTCTAAGCAAAGAATATTTTAATCAGTTCGGGCCCCTCACTGCAGTCTTCCTCCTAATGAACACCTCAGGGGCAGGATCTGGGCTGGAGTCCTCTCTATACATCTTGTAGTGCCTGTGGCAGCAACCTTCCTGCACACAGGAAGCCCTCAGTAAATCTGCTAAGTGGACAGAATCCAGAGGAAAATCTTTAGTACAAATAATCACACTATTTAAGCCAGGCATTGTGGTTCATCCTCATGATCCTAGCACTTTAGGAGGCTGATGCAGGAGGATTGGATTGCTTGAGGCCAGGAGTTTGAGACCAGCCTGGGCAACATAGCAAGACCTTATCTCTACACAAAATAGAAAAATTAGCAGGCATGGAGGTGCATGTCTGTAGTTCCAGCAGCTCAGGAGGCTGGGGTGGGAGGACTGCTTCACCCAGGAATTTGAGGCTTTAGTGAGCTGTGATGATGCCACTGTACTCTAGCCAAGGTAACAGAGCCACACCTTGTCTCAAAAAAAACAAAAACCCTCACAATTTAATAATTAGTTTATAACTAGAGGAATTTCTCTCTCTCTCTTTCTTTTTAAAGATAGAGATTTTATTTATTTATTTTTTTGCAGTTTTTGGCCTGGGTTTGAACCTCCACCTCCAGCATATCGGGCTAGTGCCCTACTCCTTTGAGCCACAGGTGCCACCCAACTAGAGGAATTTTTTTTTTCTTAATTTTTTGGAGACAGAGCCTCAAGCTGTCCCCCTGGGTAGAGTGCTATGGTGTCACAGCTCACAGCAACCTCCAACTCCTGGGCTCAAGCGAGTCTCCTGCTTCAGCCTCCCAAGTAGCTGGGACCACAGGTACCTGCCACAACGCCTGGCTGTTTTTTTGGTTGCAGCTGTCATTGTTGTTTGGCGGGCTGGGGCTGGATTTGAACCCGCCACCTTAGGTGTATGTGGCTGGCGCCTTAGCCACTTGAGCCACAGGTGCTGAGCCGACTAGAGGACTTTTTTAAAAGACACTTTAAACTTCAGAATTTTGGTGTTTACACCAAATATGTTTCATATTTATCAATTAAAATAACCAATTAAGGGTAAAGGGAACACAACTTTGATTTAAAATATACAAAAGCAAACTATGTAACCAAAATGTATGTACTCCCATAATATTTTGAAATTTAAATAATAAAATAGGCAGTTAAGATGATTTAGTGAAAACTTTGGACACTATCCTAAGATAGGGCCCTCCTACTGCTCTGCCACCTCCCTCTGAGAAGGAAGGGAAAGTGACCAGAGCGGAGTGGGGAGTGGCCAAGCTAGGAAAAGGACAAGGACAAGGAAATCTCAGGCTGTGAGTTGCCCTGGTTGTCACATCTCTTCCATGTCCTTTAACCTGGAAATTTTTCTCAGTCTTTCCTCACGCTTCATGAACTTGACATTTGACCAATATAGGCTGGAAATTGTGCAGAATGTCCCTCACGTTTCATTTCCAAATTGTTTTTAAAAAATCTCAGTGTTATATCCTCAGAGAGGCTTTCTCCCATCCCACAGACTTAGTTAAGGGCTTCTAATATGTCCTTTCACAGCACTCTAAACTTTTCATAGCACTGATAATTGTAGTAAATAATTCTGTAAGGTTGTGTTTAGCATCTGACTTCCTGTCTCAGTCAGGATAGGCTAAATTATGCAACCACAACAACAACAGTAAAATCTCAGAGGCTAAAACAAAAAAACTTATTTTGCACTAGTTACATGTCCATTTTGAGTGGACAGGGAGCTCTGCAGCCAAGGGATTATCCAGGATCCAGGGATAACCACCCAGGGGTATAGGCTGCTGGAGTGTGACCATTTGAACACTGTCACCTAGCTAGACAGAAAGACCTTGAGGACCTTGAACCACCAATCGAATGCTTGGCCCAGAAGTGTCATTGGTACCATTTTTTCTAACTCATCTGTGACTCCACCCAACCATGGGGTGGCCTGGAAGGATAATTGATCCAGTAGCACCAATGGCTTTTCCTTTTTCCCAAAAGAGTATCAATTTTGTGAGAGTAGCTGCCAGCTCTGTCTGCTTTAACTAATGAGCCCAAAACGTAGTGGCCTGATATAAATGTGTTCAATAGATAAGGACTCCTTTCTTGGCAAAAGGAGTAAGACCCTTACAACAACAATCAAAGCCAAAAGCAGGACCTCACTCTGGGATTTAGCAAGTTTAGCTGAGCAGGAGGAAAAAGAAAGGTGGGGGCTGCCTAGACTTACCTGTTGTGCCCATTTCTTCTTCTCTTCATGGAGAATTCTAGTTATGTCCTTCTGGTGCTGCTCAGCCTCCTCAGACACGCAGAGCTGGACAGTTATGGCTATGGGTGAAAAGCAAAAAAATTCATACACGGCAGAGGTGGGGGTCACAGCTGGCAGAGAGGGTGTGGGAGGCTGAGCTAAGTGATGGGAACCCTGGTCTCCACCTCAAGAATGGATCAATCTTCAGAGACAGCCCCTCAAATCTTTCTGGCTTTAGAGACCCTCCTGCAAGACTAGAAGTCTGATTTTGTCCCCTAGTATCTACAGCAAAGCCAGTAGCTCACAGGATAGATTCAGCCTATAGAAGTATTCTATTTACTTCACTCAAACTTAAAAAGAAAGGCCAGGCACAGTGGCTCATGCCTGCCATCCTAACACTCTTGGGGCCAAAGCAGGAGGACTGCTTGAGCTTGGGAGTTCCAGATCAGCCTGAGCAAGACCCCCATCTCCACTAAAAATAGAAAAATTAGCCAGGCTTTGTGGTGGGCACCTGTAGTCCCAGCTACTCAGGAAGGAATTTGAGGTTGTCATGAGCTAAGTTGACACCACTGCACTATAGCCAGGGCAACATAGTGATACTCTGTCTCAAAAGAAAAAAAATAAAATAAAATTAGTTGCTAATAACTGGGATGGAAACTATTGCTTAATAATACAAATTTCCAACTTTTCTTGAAGAATCCAAAGAACTGGCAATGCAGGCCTTCCTATTCACCAGGGGCTGGAGCTGAGGAGAGGCTGCCTCCTTCTTTGGCTAGGAAGTGGCACTGCAGTTGGCCAGTCTTCATCTCCCCCACCAAGGATGTTTATATGGGGCCACTTTGTCATTTGCTTTACCTGCTGGGGCTGTGAGCACCTGAGTATGTGGTCCCTCACCTTTAGCATCTCCTCAGCTGGAGGAAGAGGGGATTCTTATTTGTGGGAAAGAGATCTAAACAGGAAGTCTAGGCCTTGCTTAGGGAAACTCCAAAACAAGCCATGCCACGCTGGGTATGACCCTGGGTATGACCCTGGGTATGACGAAAGGCAGTGACCATCCTCTCTGGGCCTCAGTTATCTAATACATGAGGTAGGGATAAGTATAAGACCTGCCTTATGAGGCTACTGGGATGATTAAATCAGAAAAGAATGGTGATGAAAATAACAAAAGGAGTACTGAGCGCTTATAATGCCCACGACCTGCCCAGCACTATTTCAAGTGCCTAACAGGGATTACCTGCCCCATCCTTACAGCAACCCAGTGTCGTGGGTACTATTAACTTCATTTACAGATGAGGAAACTGAGGCACAGAGAAGTTATGCAACCTGCCCAAGATCACCCAGTTCACAATCGGGGAAGCAGGGATGTGAACCTACACCATCTGATTCCATGGCAAACACTCCTGATTACCACCTTTGAGGGTGCTCAGTAGATGTTCTCTAAATGTTTGATAGTGCTCGTGATAAGAATTACAGGTTAATACCAGGGCTATTAACATTATTATTAGAGAACTTCATAGGCAGGGTCTGGCAGAGGGTCTGGCAGAAAGGTGAGGATGAGGGGGAAGTCAACACTGTGGCCAGTCCCATCAGGACAGGAGGTGGACTGAGTTGGTGTCCTTAGGTCCTGCACTTCCAGAGGCCATGAGCAGATAGAGGTTACGTGATAGCAATGGTCAGGATTACAGA